CATGTTGACGAACCTCATCGAGGAAGTCTCCACGTTCCCTCTGACTACAGCTAGAGTCTGTTTGTGCCTGCTGAGTCACATAGCAACGTGCACTTACATGGTCCGCCATGCCAGGCTCTGGATGCGGCCCCTGCAACAATGGCTGGGGACAGTCTATCCTCAGTTCCAAGCCCCCCTGGAAAAAATCATTACCATTCCCCAGGCGATACTTACCTCGCTGTGATGGTGGACCGACCACAGGACAGTCCTGAAAGGGGTTTGTTCGACAACCCCCGTCGCTCCATCAAGTTGGTGTCGGATGCCTCAGACCTCTGCCGGGTTACACATCTTGGCAACCTCCAGACACAGGGGATGTGGTCCCCAGAAGAGGCGAAGTTGCACATAAACATCAAAGAGCTCCAAGCAGTCCGGCTGGCGTGTGGAGTCTTCCTGCCCCACCTGTCAGGCAAGGTGGTATGAGTCCTGACAGACAACACAGCCTCGATGTTCTACATCAATAGGCAAGGGGGAAGTGTGCTTGTCGGCTCTCTGACAAGAGGCACTCCGTCTATGGGACTTATGCATCGGCCACAAAATTCACCTGGAAGCTTGTCACTTTCCCAGTGTCAGGAATACGCTGGCAGACCAACTCAGCAGGCACATCTCCTCTCACCAGGAGTGGTTGTTCCATCCAGAGGTAGACTGCATGATCTTCCAAAGGTGGAGAACTCCGCAAGTGGACCTGTTTGCTACCAGACAGAACAGGAAATACCATCGGTTCTGTTCTCGGCAAGGGCTCCCTCTCCAGTGGCCCCTTCCTGGCCCCTGCCCAACCGACCGGTTCTGCTGTTGCAGGACCACAGTTGTCTCCTACACCCCAACCTCAAGTCCCTCCACCTCTTGGCGTGGATGCTGTGTGGCTGAATCCGGAGGAGCGGACCTGTTTGGAAGGAGTCCAACAGGTTCTCCTAGGAAGTAGGAAGCCCTCAGCTAGACTGACTTACCTGGTCATGTAGATGAGGTTTTCCCACTGGGCATCCGAACGTGGCATCTCTCCCTTGCGTTCTTCCATACAGGCAGTGCTGGACTACCTGCTCCATTTGAGGAACCAGGGCCTGGCCTACTCTTCCATTAGAGTGCATCTTGCGGCCACGTCCACTTTTCACTCGCCGATCCAAGGGCAGATGGTGTTTTCCCATGACATGATGGTCGGATTCTTGAGAGGGCTCAGGAAACTCTTCCTGCAGATATGGGCTCCTGTCCCGCAGTGGGATCTTAACTTGGTCCTCTCTAGGCTCACCGGCCCGCCCTTTTTGCTGCTGGGTTCCTGCTCCTTTTCCCACCTGTCATGGAAGGTTGCATTCCTGGTGGTGGTGACGTTTGCAAGACGGGTCTCTGAAATTAAAGCCTTGGCCTCAGAACCTAGAGCAATTTACCTAGCCAAGTGGAAGCATTTCTCGGTGTGGTCTTCCCAATGAGGCTTCTCACCAACTTAGTCACCCCTCCAGTCCATGCTGGATACCTGCTCCATCTGAAACAATAAGGCCTAGCCATTTCATCTACCAAGGTGCATCTAGCATCAGTCTCAGCCTTCCAATCTCTGGTGGGTGGTAGGTCAGTCTTCTCACATGAAATGTCCATTCACTTCCTTAAGGGTCTAGAGAGGCTTTACACTCAAATTCGCAAACCTCTCCCTCCCTGGGACCTACATCTGGTCCTGTCAAGACTCTCAAGCCCTCCCTTTTAGCTACTGGCATAGCTCTGTTGTATCTCTCCTGGAAGGTTGCGTTCTTGGTAGTGATTACCTCAGGCAGGAGGGTCTCAGAAATCAGGGCCTTTATGTCAGAACCCCTATTTATGGTGTTCTTTAAGGACAAGGTTCAACTGCACCTCCCCACCCAGAATTCCTCCCAAAGGCATTCTTTCAGTTTCATAGTAATCAGGCTATCATCCTGCCCCTTTTCTTCCCAAAACCACACAAAAATACAGAGGAGTGGCATCTCCACATGCTTGATGTTAGATGTGTCCTAGCCTTCTACATGGAGGGAACCAAGCCGTTCAATAAATCCATGCAGCTCTTTGTGGCAGTAGCAGACAGGATGAAAGACTTATCAGTTTCGGCCCAGAGAATTTCATGCTTGATCATTTGCTGCATTCACACGTTCTATGAGCAGACAGGAGTCCTACCTGCCATCTTGACAGCCCATTTGATGAGAGCTCAGGCTTCATCAGCGGTGTTTCTGGCCCAAATCCCAATCCAAGACATCTGCAGGGCAGCGACCTGGTCGTCAGTACATACTTTCTCATGACGTTCCTAGAGAGTAGTTATCAGTGGTTCACAGTCAAGCTGGAAAGGCATATTGATTATGGTCCCTCAGGGATCAGTTCTGGGTCTGGTTCTGTTCAATATCTTCATCAATGATTTAGATAATGGCATAGAGAGATTACACTTATAAAGTTTGCCGACGATACCAAGCTGGGAGGGGTTATAAGTGCTTTGGAGGATAGGATTAAATTTCAAAATGATCTGGACAAACTGGAGAAATGGTCTGAAGTAAATAGAATGAAATTCAATAAGGACAAGTGCAAAGTACTCCACTTAGGCTGGAACAATCAATTGCACACATACAAAATGGGAAATGACTGCCTGGGAAGGAGTACTGAGGAAAGGGATCTGGGGGTCATAGTGAATCACAAGCTAAATATGAGTCAACAGTGTAACAGTAATGCAAAAAGAGCAAACATCATTCGGGGATGTATTAGCAGGAGTGTCATAAGCAAGACATGAGAAGTAATTCTTCCGCCCTACTCCTCATTGAGTAGGCCTCAACTGAAGTATTGTGTCCAGTTCTGAGCACATTTCAGGAAAGCTATGGGTAAATTGAGAAGAGCTACAAAAATGATTAAAGATCTAGAAAACATGACCTATGAGGGAAGATTGAAAAAATTGGGTATGGTTAGTCTGAGGGTGGATATGATAGTTTTCAAGTACATAAAAAGTTGTTACAAGGAGGAAGGAGAAAAATTGTTCTCCTTAACCACCGAGCATAGGACGAGAAGCAATGGGCTTAAATTGCAGCAACAGTGGTTTAGGTTGGACATTAGGAAAATCCTGTCAGCGTGGTTAAGCACTGGAATAAATTGCCTAGGGAAGTCATGCAATCTCCATCATTGAAGATTTTTAAGAGCGGGTTAGACAAACACATGTTCCCTTCCAGTCCTATGATTCTTCTCCCACTACGCCATCACCCGATAGGCTAGGGATGACACCAAGTTTGGTAGAGCAGTGTTGCAATCCTCATGTCCATGAACTCCAAGTCCACCTCCTCAGGTATTGCTTGGGCATCACCTAATGTGTAATGGACCCGAACAAGCACTCGAGGAAGAAAAAACATTTACTAACCTTTCTATAACTGTTGTTCTTTCAATATGTTGCTCATGTCCATTCCATGACCCACCCTTCTGCCCCTGGCAAGTTAGCTGGCAAGAAGGAACTGAGGGTGTGGGGCTGGTCGACCTGTTGTACCGGTGCATGAGTGCGTGGCACCAGAAGGTGTTAGAGCCGGTCCAAGGGATACCACTGAGGGAAAAATCTCCAGCGACTTTGCATGTGGCGCATGCTTGCATCTAACATGGAATTGACATGAGCAGCACATCTTGAAGAACAGTAGTTACACAAAGGTTAGTAACCATTTCCCTCCTCATTTATATGGTTTATTTTTATTTTCTAAGCTGAATGAATTTTAAAAAGTAAACGAAGTAGGAAGTTTATTTCTGATTCTCATGCATCAGCCACACTATGATGGCAAGCACTCCAGAAGTGTGTTTAAATCCAAACAAACACTTTTAATTGCACTCCTTTTTTTAAAGCCTATGTTTTATAAAACCAACATTTTTCTTCTATTTCAGTGTCCTTTATGAAAATGTGGGAAGTCAGTGCAATACATTTTAAACAATTCAAATGAAAATCAAAATGTAATCCAAAATGAAGTCCAAATCAGGAGCACAACCCAAAAAAAGGAGTTTTAGAATTTCAAAATTTGCATAGCAGTTATTTTTGTCTAAAGTGACATACAAGTCTAAACTTACTGTTATGAGAGTTAAATGGATTAAACAGATTAGAAGGTTTACTTCCAATGAACAACTATCATCCACAAAACAATGCACATTTTAACTATGGGCCTGATTCTGCACATGCATATCTTTGTACTCAAGTAGTCGTGGTGGAATTGCCCACTTAAGAGCCCACATGAGTAAGAAAATAATGTGAAAATTAAAAAAAAAAACAGGTAGGGGTGCTATCTTCTCACTTTTGAACCCCATCTACCCATACCAATTGCCTGTATGACAATTAAAGGTTGAAAATTCAATATTACATGCATATAAAATGTACACCCAAAAATGCAGGCATCTGTTCCTTCTGCACCTGCTTCATGACTCCCACCTTCCTATTGTCCTAAATCCTCCTGACTCCCAGTGCACTCGCTCCCCACTGACAGACTTCAGTAGCCCAACAGCCCCATACAGGTTCTAGCAGCTGCCCCTTCTCCAGTCCACAGGGAAAGAGCTTCCTCTGAGCTCCTACCTCCACTCACTGTACTGTAGCAGGGAAAGGTGGAAGTGGGGCTACTGTTAGATGGCTGGGGTGAGCCCATAGTGCCGTACCTGCTCTGAGTGTACGGTGGCTCTAGCAGCCAAAGGGGGAACTACAGACAGCTCAGATAAAAAGCTTCCCGTAGTTGTTCACATGGTCATGGGTGCAACTGCAAAAATTGGTCCAAAATCATGACACTTCCCAGTGCTGGCACCACTGCATTCGTTCCTTGGGACTGCTTGAGTATATTACATACTTAAGTGTTTGCAAGACTGTGGCCTCAGTTTCCTTAAGAATAGGATGTTTACCACTTTACTTGCTGCGGAGAGTGATACTACACAGTGTTATAGAAGCCTGTGGTCTGTCTTATTCTGAAAATGAGTGATATTTAGGGATAATTGGTGAATACATGTTTTTTTTCCTGCAGGTATTGTTCCACGGTTGATTAAAGTTGCTCCTGCTTGTGCCATAATGATCAGCACCTATGAATATGGGAAGTCCTTCTTTCGTAAATTAAACAAACAAAAAATATACAAAGCTATTAATTCTCACTCAAGCTGAGATTGCAACGATAGTCAAGGTATCTGGTCACGGTTGTGCCAACTTTGACTGTTGACTAGAATTAAACTTTTCCAGACCAGATAAAATTCAACCATGACGTTTGCTAACCAGATGCAATTCCCTTTACTTAGCACTTCCTTCAGGTTGCTTATGCACCTTTATTTCTGAATTCAAAAAAGTGTAAGAGTGCTACGTGGTGTGTATATTCCTAGAACCATTGTTTAAAATTTCATGTGAATTCTCTCTTTAAAGACCATGCTTTTAGAGAGCTAAGGAAGTAAATTGATAGTTTTATAATCATCAGAAATGGGTAAAACACACTTTGAGATTGGTCAGAAACATGAAATAGTATTTGCCACCTGTATTAAAGAAAAAACCTCTTTCAGTGGAAAATGAGACTGGTATGGAACATGATTATTTCTGACATGCATTTTAATATTTCTCCAAATAGCCTCTCTTAAATGTATTTATACTCTGAGAATCTATTAGGTTTGTGTTCAGAAAAATAGACAATATGTAAACAAACATGGAAAGTCTTTCATGAATGCTCAATCATGTACCTAGATATGTTTAGATATTTGTCCCTTCAAGGAGTGGTTGTCTTGGCATCAGTCTTCTTTGTTATTGAAAGTTAGGTTAAGTATTTCATCAGTGTTTCAGTGAGACCGAGGGTAGAAGGGGGCACCACTAAATAGCCTTGAAATAGAACCGTAAAAAACATTTATATTTGGCCTTCCATATATGTGGTTTGAAAATTGTAAGTAGGAGTATCCTATAGACCACAAATATAATAGTTAGGAATCCTGTAACTTTCACTGGTCCTGTATTGATTAGAAACTTTACATTACACAATCTTGAGTTAAATGAATAATCAGAATTAAGTTGTTTGCCATGTAACCATTTGCATGTTTTTCACTTTGATTCTGTTGCCATTTAAGTTGCAATTTCAAAGCAAAATAGTTTAATATTTGGATTCCATTGCAGAGCCATGTATTAAGCTGATTAGCTGGTTTATTTCTAAAAGTTGGAAATCAAATTTCCCATTAAGAGCCTGATCCTGGATTTTTGCACATCCAAAAACTCCAGAGGGAAGCTTTGTGATGTCCAAGCAAGGTAGGAGGGAGCCTACAGGAGGGTAAAATGTGCTACCTATGACTGACTAGTTGTGTGCAATCTTACTTTTGAAGTACAGTGGCTATTATGCTAAGGAATTTTAAATATTAAGATGTCTTGGATACCTTTTGGGTGCATGCAAGAGGTATGATGAAAGCTTTCACAAAACTAACTTCACTTCCATAGCATCTGAGGACCACAACCTAGTTCTTTAACAATTGGCATTTAAGGTTTCTTGGTGGTGAAGGAGGGAGGTGTTAAACTTTGTCAGGGGTTCATCTTTGTCACCTAAAACTAGAGTAAGTATGTAGGTGACCTTTCTACAACCCTGAAGCAGTAAGCTAGAAATCACCAGTTCATTTGTGGCTCTTCAGGTTTTTATCCTTTCATTAATTCTGGACTGCTCTTTGTCCCCACTGATCACATTGTAGGCTTTGTTGTTGCTATATTTTTATGCACAGTACTAGTACATCCACTTCATAGTGACTAAGTGTTGCCTGTCATGCTCACAGAGTTCAGTAAACTAAGATAGTGCCCACTATATGTTATGTGGCCAAGGAAAGAGAGCTTTTTTTTTTTCTTGTGGAAAAACACAGTTTTGCTAGCCATCAAAGATGATGATTAAGAGTCCTGCAGGTTAAAAGGATGCAGAATAAACAATGGTGAGAGGGGGCATGAAAATGAGTTCTCATTCAAGTGATCCATGAAGAATTCTTTCTCAGGATAATTTACACTTTAATAATATAAAAAGAAATAGCACTTTATGAAAACTACATACATCCCAATAAAAATGTGAAACGTTCAAATATTTTCAAAATGGAGATAAAGAATGTAATACATGGTTTAATCATCATGGAAATGAGTTCAGATACTAGCGATCGATGGGATAAAAATGTTAATATTTAATAAAATCAAATTTTTTCTTGTTTTGTGATCCTGTGTACAGATAGATAATTAATTTTGTTTCTGATAGTAGAAAGTTTAAACTCTTATTCATGAATATTTATTTCATTAATTTGACTGTGGTTTAATATAGATGCTTTGTGATTTTTTTTAATTGGTTTTGTTTTGAAACCTCAGCTCTGTTCTGTCTGACACCTTACACTTCATGCAAGAGGTAGCTTCTAAAACCAGGCTTTAAACTATCCCACTTGGTTTATGTAAACTTGTAAAAGAAAAGATGGTAAATTTGAAATACAGAAAACATTAACCCTATAGCTGAGCCAGTGGACAGAGTAGGAGGGATAGGTTAAAAATGAATGACAGTTGCTGAAAAAGTTACATAAGAATGGCTATATTGGATCTGACCAATGGTCCAGCTAGCCCAGTATCCTGTCTTCTGCCAGTGGCCAATGCCAGGTGCTTCAGAGGGAATGAACAGAACAGGTAATCATCAAGTGATCCATCCCCTGTTGCCCATGCCCAGCTTCTCGCAAACAGAGGTCAGGGACACTTCAAAGCATGGTTTTACATCCCTGCCCATCCTGGCTAATAGCCATTAATGAACCTATCCTCCATGAACTTATCTAATTCTTTTTTGAACCCTGTTATAGTCTTGGCCTTCACAACTTCCTTGGGCAAAGAGTTCCACAGGTTGACTGAAAAAACACTTCCTTTTGTTTTAAACCTGCTGCCTATTCATTTTAGTTGCTGAGCCCTAGTTCTTGTATTATGAGGAGTAAATAACACTTCCTTATTTACTTTCTCCACACCAGTCATGATTGTATAGACTTCTACCATATCCTCCCTTAGTCATCTCTTTTCCAAGCTGAAAAGTCCCAGTCTTTTTAATCTCTCCTCATATGGAAGCTGTTCCATACCTCTAATCATCTTTGTTGCCCATTTCTGTATCTTTTCCAATTCCAATATATCTTTTGAGATGGAGCGACTACATCTGCACACAGTATTCAAGAGGTGGGCATACCATGGATTTATATAAAGGCTGTATGATATTTTCTGTCTTCTTATGGATCCCTTTCCTAATGATTCCCAACATTCTATTAGCTTTTTTGACTGCCACTGCAAATTGAGTGGATGTTTTCAGAGAACTATCCACAATGATTCCAAGATCTCTTTCTTGAGTGGTAACAGCTAATTGAGACCCCATCATTGTATATGTATAGTTGGGATTATGTTTTCCAATGTGCATTACTTTGCATTTGTCAACATGGAATTCATCTGCCATTGTGTTGCCCAGTCACCTAGTTTTGTGAGATCCCTTTGTAACTCTTTGCAGTCTACTTTGGACTTAACTATCTTGAGTAGTTTTATAACACCTGCAATTTTTTCCACTTCACTCTTTACCCATTTTTCCAGATCATTTATGAATACGTTGAACAGTACTGGTCCCAGTACAGAGCCCTCGGGGAAACCACTCTATACCTCTCTCCATTCTGAAAACTGACCATATACGCCTATCCTTTCTACCAGTTACTGATCTATGAGAGGACTTTCCCTCTTATCACATGACAGCTTACTTGCTTAAGAGCCTTTGGTGAGGGACTTAGATTTTCAGAAAGTTTTGGACAAAGTACACTATATCACCCCTCCCACATGCTTGTTGACCACATCAAAGAATTCTAGTATATTAGTGAGGTATGATTTCCCTTTACAGAACCATGTTGACTCTTTCCCAACAAATTGTGTTCATCTGTGTCTGATAACTCTGTTCTTTACTACAGTTTCAACTATAGTTAGGCTTACCAGCCTGTAATTGCCAGGATCACCTCTAGAGCCTTTTTTTTTTAAATTGGCATCACATTTGCTGTCCTCTAGTCATCTGGACCAGAAGTTGATTTAAATGATAGGTTACATACCACAGTTAGTAGTGCTGCAATTTCACATTTGAATTCCTTCATAACACTTGAGTAAATACCATCTGCGACTTATTACTGTTTATCAACTTGTTCCAAAACCTCCTCTAATGACACCTCAATCTGGGACAGTTCTTCACATTTGTCACATAAAAAGAATGGCTCAGGTTTGAGAATCTCCCTCACATCCTCAACTGTGAAGACTGAGGCAAAGAATTAATTTAGTTTCTCCACAATGGCCTTATTGTCCTTGAATGCTCTCAATCCCCAGTGGCCCCATGGGTGGTTTAGGAGGGTTCTTGCTTCTGATTTTTACTTCATTTGACTCTAGATTTCCTTTCACAGATAGTGCCACTCCCCCACCAGTATGACCTATTCTGTCCTTCCGCTATATTTTATTTTAGTTTTGGAAGGTCCTTCCTATTCTGTCCTTCTGCTATAATTGGTTTTAGTAATGAATTGAAAACTAGAGGCATGATCACAAATAAAATAGCCATTTACTTCACTGTGACAGGCCCATAGTTTTTAAATAATTTAACAAACTCTTATTGTTGAGGTCACAGGCTATCCAGGAGGCATGGAGGGAAATGGAGTCACAATGACTAGTGCCTCAAAAGGCCAAAGACCTGAGTCATCAAGGGTGTTTATCATCTGTCTTTACACTCTTCTTGGATGAAAGAACAGGCAACCCTGCCCAAAAGAGTTAATTCTGGATGCTCTTGGCCCAGGCAGGATGTTGCCTTCTGGTAAATAGGAGTTTAAAACAAAAATAGAATGCAAAATGGACAAGGAAGATAAGTATGACAATTGTGCAAGTGCACAGAAGAGGGGAGATAAGGGCCCTCCGTCCAACTATTAGAATGCCAAAGGATTTTTAGCAAAAAGGTTAGGAATCCACTTGTTAAATATTTATTATAATGGCATCCAAAGGCTCCAATTGAAATTGAGGCCGTATTATGTTGTACAAATTCCGAAGAGAGACTCCCTGCCCTGAAAGTACAGAACAATGAAAGCATAAGATTAAACCAGAAGGCAGATTTAACACTGAAAGAAAAATGCTTTTTGTGATGTGTATAATTCAATTATGTAATGCCACTTGATCAAGGTGAATTTCTTAGAAACTTAAAGAATTTAGATTGTGAATGAGTAGAATTTGCAATTACAGGGCAATAGTTTTCATGCTTCAGGATGTAGATGGCTCCACGAGCTGTGCTCAATTTTATTTATAATATAGTGCATAAATACTGCATGAAAGTTTTATGCCTTCCTCTGCAGCATCTTGGCTTTGAAAGCTCTTACGCCATAGCTTGAGATATTGTTTATTGTGGCACAACATGTACTTTAGAGAAAGGGGCAAGAAATGCCATAATGGATATTTGTAAAATAAGAAAAGTTTGTCTTAGTGGTTAATTTATGTCTGAAGCACATGTTTAAAACATTTTTTTTATCCTAACTAATTGGACTGTGTCCATTCACTTAAGGCTAGGTCTACACTGCCCTGCGGTTTGGACTACAGAGGTGAGAACAGTAATGCCTGTCAATGTGCTGCACTTCAACTTCCCAGTGTGGATGCAGCAGGTGTGAATGAAAAGGTTCCTATTTTGCATTAATGTAAGCCTGTCTGAAGAGGATTACGTTAATGCAAAGTAGGAATATTTTAGTGTGCATCCGCACAGGGGAGTTAGAGCATAGCACTTTGACCCACAGTGCTGTTAACAGTTCTCTAATCCAAACTGCGGGATAGTGTAGACAAGCCTGTGACTACCTAATACGTTTTTAAATCCTGTCAAACTCTTAGCCTCAATGATATTTTATGGCAATACCTAGCCTTTTCTTTGGAGCCCACTGAACCACTATTTTCTCATTTCAAATGTAAGCTTAGGTGTTCCTTTCTTTACTTCAAAAGATTCATTTTGCCTGTATGAAGTACTTTTATTAAGGAGACTTTCTATGTCAGAAAATCTCACATTCAGAACATAAGGTTAAGCTCAAGTTCCTGCCTTTATCAATTGAGTATAACGCAGGAGTTCAGACTTTCATAACATGGATCACATATTAAAAAATTTCATGGATTTCCTCCTCTCCCATTCATGACTGTATAAGGTTCTTGCACCAACTACAGCAATTATGTAAATAGAAAATACTGGTGCATTTCAATTTAATGGATGAAAGCAGGGAATATTTAGTAGATAAAAATTGGGAATAGAGCCAACACCTTGAGGCAAGAGTTAAAGATAGTAGTTTAGAATAGCATCTTTTTTTAAAAAAAGGTGATGTATTATACTGTTTGTTTTTTTAGCACAGATTCCAAGTCAAAGCATAATTTAAATGTTTGGGGTTAATTTATAGTCTCCATTATCACTCATGCTAAAAGGAAATGCATATTCGTTGTTTAGACTTTCAGAAGACCTTAAATGAAGTAATGTGTTAATTTTCACTTCTTTAGGAATATTAGAACAAATTTAAATTGCTTTATGCTCACATGATACTAGTGTGTTAGTGATCTTACTTTACACTTCTTGATTAGAAAAGTACAGAGACGAGCTAGTAGTGGCAACGATACAAAATGTTTAATTTACATGCAACAGTTATAATATAGCACGGCAACAAAATACACACAATTTTGGCATTTATTTTTGTTCAAATATTTCTGAAAAATGGACAGCATTTAGAACTGACACACACATACAATCAGCTTCCTCATGCACGAACATTGACATTTACAAACTAATACTAGTGTGAAAGATTACATAAAACTTAAATTACATGACAGATGAATTTTATAGCAGCTCCTCCAACAGAGCTATCTGCTGACATGACTAGAAAATCATGATTATAGCCAAACAGTGATGTACTGGGAGAAATGTTTAAAACAGCACAAGTTGCTCAAGTTACTGTACACAAATCAGTAATGTTAACTTTATGGAATCCTGCTTCCCTCATTGTATTAAAAATGCATCTTTAGTTTAGAAATTACTATTTAATGAATACTGTTCAATTAAGCTACTGAACTGCCATGAGAGCATGTTCTTAGTGCAAGAACCAGGACATTACTTTATGCCGTAATAGTCATTCTGGTAGACCTTAGTAAAGGAGCACTACTGTTTTAATTAAGTTTTATTTCAGAGATCATTAGAGTGGGTTAGTCAGTTCTGAAAATGTGTAATTTCACATGCTTATCAAGGCAACATTCCTGCATTCTTCTGTTTACAAGAATGATTAGATTGCCTGTTTTTCTTTATCCGACCCTTTGAAAAACTAGTAGTGCAAAGGGTAAGATTACAAGAGGCACATTTCTCTGGCAAATATAAATAAAGCAAAGAGTATAGAATGTAGTATCTGACTGTAAACAAAAATCTGTCTGAAAGTATGCTGTAATTAAATAACCTTATTAGTACTGAAGCCACTCATGTAAACAATATTTGAAACTTCTTTGGCACAACAAAGCATTTTCCCCTTGATTAATAAATACAACACACTTACATGCATTTAATATTTTTTTTAAAGATACTGATCAGCATTACCTTAATAGCAAAATTCATAGATAAAGGACTCGTTACATCTTACAAAGATATAAGAATACAGTTTGCAGTGTTAGAATACAGTTTGCAATTCAAAAATTAATTTGCAAACTTTAAAGGTGAGAGTTAAACTGGGAAGATGTAAAGTTTAGTTTCATTTCAAAATGTTTTCAGGTAATTCATATCAGTAGCTTAATTAGAGGCATAGAATTTTAAAGGATTCACTTCTGTTTAAGTATTACTGCACAGCATAATCAAGAAAAATACCTATCCAAAACTCTTTCATGGGGGAAAAAAAAACACGAGCATGAGAATATTGTCATTTAAATTATCAATTTCCATTCTAATCCTTTTTTACTCCTGAGATCCTTTACAATGGACATGGGGGGGGGGGAATTTTCCCCAAAGCTCTAAGGTGATGACATCACCATGTTTCCCCCCACCTTTACATTAACATAAGTCAGTAACAAAAAGCAAGTAACTAAGATGCACCTTCTACCTGCAAAGTTCTTCCTCATTTGGGTCTTATGATCACCTGGTGACTTGCCTCCTAATCCCTTCTTAAAAGTTGGAAGTAATCCTGATGTATAAGATTTGTTACTCTGTTCCCTTATCAAAACCTAGGGATGTATACTGTTTCTTAATATGGCCTTATCTGAACATAAAAATTAACTCTAAGTGGCATAATGGGAATGCAAATTTAACACTTACCTGTCAGTATTTCAAAACATCTAACAGGTTAAATAAGTTATTTCAGATCCTACATAATAGAACATATGCAGATTAAAATATGATATTTAAACAAGCAATGTTTTGTAATATAGTATAAACTGGAATTCAGATATTCTTTGCTAGACTGCCAAGACTTATTCCCTGTCTCTTCTGCAAGTGTTGACAAATATGCAGAGCAGTGCAAGGAAGTGCTCTAGTTAAGAGCCTGTGGAACACAGATCACGACTGTTTAGCAGAAGACTGATATTCACATATTTCATTCTAAAAGGTAATCATATGTTACTAAATCATACATACATTCTGTACCGGACTAGGATTCTTAAACAATTTAAGATCTCAAAGGGTAAGTCCAGGAAAAATCCTTTTAAAGAAAAGCATGACAAACAATGGATGTAAGTTTTGTGACTTTTCTTTAAATAGATCATTATGAAAAAAGGACAAAATAAAGCAGCATATTCTTTAGCTTGCTTGAACCTTTAAGAGTCTTCACAGCAAGTCAAATTCTGGCATACAACACAAAAGCTCTTCCTGTTATGTATATCCGCTCAAGATGGAGTTAGACCTGGACTTGTCATCTCTGCTGTAGGACTTGCAAGGTATTCACTTGATTTCAGACTTGTAAGAGATTTATAACTTGCTACAGAAGTCAGAGAACCACAGAGACCAAGCAGTGATGGAGTGTCTTCCTTCCCTGTTAAAACAGAATTACATTAAATCACTATTACAATGCAATTCCTAATACTAGATTTACCTGAACAGCAGTAACACTGAGGGAAGAGAGAAGGTCAGTATATGTATCTGTTTATAGAATGTTCATCCTCGATACAACATAAGCACACATGCACAAATGCCATTGTCAGTTTTTAGGGAAACATGCTACTGTGTCCAGCATCTCCCACAATTCTAGATGTCTAGGCAGTTCTCTCTCTACAGCTCACAGACACATCAGAGTTTTGGTGCCACGTGGTCTGACCATGCCTCTTCTACTGCTTCCTTGCAGATTCTCTGCCTCTGGAGCATCACACAGTGGTCGTTTCTTTTGCTTCTGTCCTTACTCTTTCTATCTTAACACTTCTGCCCAGTTTTTTGGGCAGTGGGGAGCAGTATTCTTCCTCCACAGCATTCCTCCTCCTCCCTGGGTTGGTTAACCCTTCAGGGTTGAGTCTCTGCCAGCGCCTGTGACCCATAGAGTCATGGCAGAGCAGCCAAGAAAGCACCAGGTCGAATTCAAAAGGTGCTGTGAGGCAGTTTTCCCATGGTTGGCAGATGGCAAGCTGGGCCCAGACCTAACTCCATTAGGTCCCTGGGTTACGAGTCCAACAGGCAAATGGGGTTCCCTACTAGGGATGTAAATATAGTTTAAAAAGTTAACCATTTAAACAATTAAAATATCGTTTAAACGGTTAACTGATTAAAGGGAGGGGGCTGGGGCAGCACCAGCCAGCGCACCTTGCGGCTGGGGCCGAGGGGTTAATGGTTAAGGCGGGTTAACCAATTAGACTAATGCTTACTGGTTAACATTTTGCATCCCTATTTCCTACCCACTGAGGCAGCCACAACTCTAATGTGGAAAAAATGGACCAGGAACCCCAGTGCACAGCAGGGAGAGGCTCTAAAAGTGAGGAGGAGCCTGATCACTGGACTCATGGGGTAAGTCCCAGGGGGCCCCCAAGAACGAAGAGGGGAGGCTTGCAGGTTCACCAGTCCTGCCCACAAGACTTAAAGTGGGTTCTGAGCATCCTGGAAAAAGAAGCAGGGCTTCTAAATCAGCTCCCCCTCCCGCCCCAAAGCAGATCAGGAGGGTTCTGACTACAAGTTGGCACCTTTCAGGGTGGGCTCTGAAACATCTCTCAAGAGGGCTCCAGACCCTAAGGAAGCAAGCCACAAAAGGCCTCACCAAAGCCACTGCAGAGTTTCTATACTCCTGAAGCACGCTAAAAAGGTTTAAAAATTTTTAAAGGGAAAGACAGCACAAAAATCCAGGAGATGAGAGTCCTCTTCCTCCTCCTCAACTGAGGAAGGTGAGCTATCTGGCTCTGAAACCTGAGCAGGTTCCTGTGAGTAAGCCTTAGAATAAAATTTTCCCTTCAAAATCCTCCCTTGAGGCTGCAATATCGCTTCACTCCTTGAGGAACTGATTAGGGATGAATGGAACAAGCCTGATAAGGGCAAGCACATTAACAAGAGCAATCTCAGGCTCTATTACATTCAAGAACACAAGGGACACCAAAGGTTGACACCTGTGTGCATCCCTTGCCAAAAATATGATTATTCCCTCAAAAGGAGAGTTCTACCTTAAGGACCCCAAGACTGGAATGATGGAGGCCAGTCACAAAGAGGGCTCTGAAGCCTCCTCCGCCACCTTCTGAGTGTTCCTGGCAGTTACCCGCTTTGCAGGAGCATCTCTTGCCTGGCTGGAACATCTGCTCTTAAGGGCTTTGAGATGACCCTGACTTTGGCTCCACTTTCAAGTCTTCCCAGAAACAGCCTTTGTAGCGACACCTCAATGGATGCAATAAGGTTTTCAGCCCAAGCCATGGCTTCCAGTTCAGTAGCCAGGCGCCGCCTATGGCTTCAACCCTCGAAGATGGATACTTACTCTAACCAGGTCCTATGCTCAGCCAAGTTTATAGGCTCCCTCATTTTTGGAGAAAAACTGGATAAGATGGTGGCTGACAAGATGGCAAAATCCAAACAAACGGTCTCTCCTTTCCTCACTAAGGGTCCTCAGAATAGAAAATAGACCAGCATTCAGACAGAGGCACTCCTTTTGCTCCTCATCCTTACAGAGGTACCAGGTTTATCGTTTACCAGCGAAGGGGCAACAAATTCCCTGAGTGAAAATACTGGAATCAAAGTACCAGGGGAAATTCCAGAGGGACCTCAGTCTCCAACCCTCCCAAATCCACTTTATGACAAAGATTGCATAGGCTCCCCCAAGAGCTGAAGCTAGGGGTCAGGATTTCCCATTTCCTAGAAGAATGGTTTTCACTGACCATAGACAAATGGGTCACGGATATAGTGAGTGAGACAGACCTCCTTGAGCTCCAGGCTCCACCCATCCCTTCTTCATCCAATCACCCAGCTCCAATAGCCCTGTAAAACAGTCTGATGCAGAACAAAATATCTCATCTTTTGGATATGGGAATGACAGAGTGGGTTCCCTCAGAAGAAAGGTTCTCCAGGTTCTACTCCATCTTCTTCATTGTACGGCAGCAAATGGGGAGTATCAGAGCCATTTTCTATCTCAAAAGCAACAAGTGGATAAAGAAAAAGTTTTGAATGGAGATTGTGGCCTCTACAGTATCATACCTGTCCCAGGAGGGACTTCTTGACTTCAGTTGACCCAGATGACACACATTTCCATATTCCCATCAGACTGCGCCTGCGCAGACTTCTGTAGTTTGCCAACAGCAGGAAATGTTGGCAATAACAAACACTCCTGTTTGGCCTCTCCTCAGCCCCCAGGGTTTTTACAAAGATGTTGATTGTGATAATGGCCAGACTCCGGTCACAGGAAACTCACCTGTACCCCTTCCTGGATGACATCTGATCAAAGCTCCATTGCAGCTCAAAAGGTCACATCTTGAATGTGAAATCTTCTCCAGGACCCAGCTTCAATACCAAGAAAAGTTCTCTAGTTTCACCCAGGAATTTATTTTCTTGTTCCAGAGCTACTATAGCACTATGCCTCCAATTGCTAGAACTTGTGGTGTCGTGCATATGGATCTCCATGGGCACAATCATGCATCAGAAGTCTTCAAGGTTTCATACTAGAGGTGTGGGATCACACCACGGAACACAAGAAAGATCAAGTATAAGTTTCAGCACAGGTGTTCAACTCCTTACAATAGTGGTCAGCCCACGACAATCTGCAAAGGCATGCCCATCTGCCTTCCAGCTCCTTTAGTCCAAGCAGTCAACACCAGTGTGGAAGGCTGGGAAGCTCACTTGGAGACCCAAAGAGCCCAGAGCCTATGGAACCAGGAGGAAAAGGCTCATAGCAAAACCTCCTAGAGCTGAGAGGGGGAACGATGTTCTAGTTCAATCAGACAATATGATTGCATATTTAAAGGGGGAAACAAGGAGTCCAACACTACATGTGGAAGCAATGGAAATAATAAAGTGGGCAGAATCATTCCTTCTTTCCCTCAGAATGATCCACAACAAAGGTGATCTGAACCAATATGCAGACTGGCTCAGGAGGTGCCGGCTCAATAATTCTGAGTGATGCCTGAATCAGGTGGTTTTTAATCTCATCATTCACATGTTCGGCCTCCCTTCAGCCAACCTGTTTGTGAATTGTACCAAGGCAGAGACCAAAATACTTCTCAGGCTCCCTGGAAGACAATCCACAGAAAATCAGCATTCTGGCCTACGTGGACAATCTGGTCCTGACCGCGGATGACCCAGAGAGCCTCAAAGGTATGCTAGACGCCACCAGCCAAGCTACTGACTGTATGGGGCTCTGCTTCAATGCGAAGAAGTGTGCAACTCTGCACACTGATGGCAGCAAAAGGGACTTGGTGCAGGCGATGGGGTTCCAGATCCAGGGTGAGCCCATCATCCCCCTAGCAGAGGGGCAGGCATACCAGCACCTGAGCACGCCAACAGGTTTCTGTGTCCAGCAGACACCCGAGGACACCATCCAGGAGATCTTGCAGGACGCCGCCAAGATTGATGCCTCCCTGCTGGCACAGTGGCAGAAGATAAACGCCCTGAACACCTTCCTGATCCCATGCATCTCGTTCACCCTAAGGGGATCCGCTGTGGCGAAGGTGCCCCTCAACAAGGTGGACAAGATCATCCGGCAGCTGGTGAAGAAGTGGCTGTTCTTTCCCCAGAGAGCCAGCAATGAGCTGGTCTACATCGCTCACAGGCACGGTGGCGCCAAAGTCCCCTGCATGGGTGATCTGTGCTACGTCGCAGTGATCACCCACGCCTTCTGCCTGCTGACATGTCCCAACGCCACGGTAAGGAATATCGCGGAGAACGCCCTGTGTGATGCAACAGAGAAGCAGATCGGTAGAGCCCCCCCCCCCCCAACCAAGACATCGCCACCTTCCTGAGCGGCTCTTTGGATGGGGAATTCGGACGGGACGGGCGTGACATCGCTTCACTGTGGTCCCACACTCACAACGCCACACGTCGCCTGGGGAAGTGCATCGGCTGCTGCTGGGAGTGGTGCGAGGAGCGCCAAAAGCTGGGAGTCCGGGTGCCGCAGATCAGGTCCGACAACACCATCATCACCCCGAGCGCCAGGGGCTTGCTGGAGAGGACTCTGAAGGCCGCCATCCACTCGCTGTACATGAAAACCCTGAAGCGTAAACCGAACTAGGGTAAAGCCTGTGAGTTGACCAGCAAGTGGGACGCCAGCAACCACTTTCTCACCGGGGGAGGCTTCACCCACTTCGCCAACTGGCAGTTCATCCATTGTGCCCAGCTCAATTGTGTCCCGCTCAACGGAGCCGTCCGCCATGGGAACTGAGACAAGCGTTGCAGGAAGTCTGGTTACTCCAACGAGACCCTGCCCCACATCCTGTGCAGCTGCACACCCCACTCCAGAGCCTGGCAGCTGCGCTACAACGCCATCCCGAACCGCCTGGTGAAAACCATCGCACCACGCCTGGGGAAGATCTCCGTGAACTGCACCATCCCCGGTACCGACAGCCAGCTACGAACTGACGTCGT